TTTTAAAATCGAATACAAACTTCTGTGGACTTTATCTCTTTAGGGGGACAAAAAACAGTTAGACCAATTCTTCGCCAGCCTGGATGGGGACAAGGATGGAAAAGTTTCTTTCCCAGAGTTTGTCCAGTTTGCAGCAACCTTAATGTTGTTGTACGTCGCATTCTAATTTGGGAACATTGCCTCAGAATTCTTTGCCTTAAGGTTATCTCTATAAAATGTAGAAAGTACATGTCATTATTATGTGTTCTGAAGAAACACAGATAATATCATTGATGGGTACTTATGTTAGCTTAAAGAACCTGAAAGGTGCTGTCTTTGAGCATAAATCATTGATTTTTTAATATCAGCTAACTAACAACTAACAAAAATAAATGTTGTCACATTGTATAATTGTTTGTGTGTGTTATTAAACCAAAGACATATGGTGAGAACTCCTACAGTCAGCCCTCTCTTTAAAATGCGCATACTCTGAAATGCGCATACTCTGAAATGCCATAGAACATGTAAGGTAAAAGGTCGAAAGGTACGTACACAAAACAAGAATACAAATATCAGCCATATAGTAAAAAAACATATACAATACAAAAGCAACAATCTGCAAACTTCAGAACGCTAAGAGAAGAGGTGGGGTTTGAGACTTAAGCTCAGAGAGGTAGGGTGCAGCAGCTCAGAGAGGTAGGGTGCAGCAGCTCAGAGAGGTGGGGTGCAGCAGCTCAGAGAGGTAGGGTGCAGCAGCTCAGAGAGGTAGGGTGCAGCAGCTCAGAGAGGTAGGGTGCAGCAGCTCAGAGAGGTGGGGTGCAGCAGCTCAGAGAGGTGGGGTGTAGCAGCTCAGAGAGGTGGGGTGTAGCAGCTCAGAGAGGTGGGGTGCAGCATCTCAGAGAGGTAGGGTGCAGCAGCTCAGAGAGGTAGGGTGCAGCAGCTCAGAGAGGTGGGGTGTAGCAGCTCAGAGAGGTGGGGTGTAGCAGCTCAGAGAGGTGGGGTGCAGCATCTCAGAGAGGTGGGGTGCAGCATCTCAGAGAGGTAGGGTGCAGCAGCTCAGAGAGGTAGGGTGCAGCAGCTCAGAGAGGTGGGGTGTAGCAGCTCAGAGAGGTGGGGTGCAGCAGCTCAGAGAGGTAGGGTGCAGCAGCTCAGAGAGGTAGGGTGCAGCAGCTCAGAGAGGTGGGGTGTAGCAGCTCAGAGAGGTGGGGTGTAGCAGCTCAGAGAGGTGGGGTGTAGCAGCTCAGAGAGGTGGGGTGTAGCAGCTCAGAGAGGTGGGGTATAGCAGCTCAGAGAGGTAGGGTGTAGCAGCTCAGAGAGGTAGGGTGTAGCAGCTCAGAGAGGTGGGGTGTAGCAGCTCAGAGAGGTAGGGTGCAGCAGCTCAGAGAGGTAGGGTGCAGCAGCTCAGAGAGGTGGGGTGTAGCAGCTCAGAGAGGTGGGGTGTAGCAGCTCAGAGAGGTGGGGTATAGCGGCTCAGAGAGGTGGGGCGTAGCGGCTCAGAGGTAGGTGTAGCAGCTCAGAGAGGTAGGGTGTAGCAGCTCAGAGAGGTGGGGTGTAGCAGCTCAGAGAGGTGGGGTGTAGCAGCTCAGAGAGGTGGGGTGCAGCCAGGCCATTGAGGGATTTAAAGGTAAATAAAAGAGTTTTTAAATGAATCCTACAATGTATGGTTTACAGGTTGAATTATTCCTTTTATGGCCACTAATGGCACTTTTTTTTAATTTTTTATAACTCTGCCGCTTCTATTAAGCATGCTGAACATGACAGCAACATTACTTTCCAGCAAGGAACCAAATAAAGAAACTGGATTTGATTGAAATAGATAAATGTAATTACAGTGAATATAACTACTATGTCCACCTAATATCAATTCAAACACCATGACACAATTACATCAGATTAATGATAAAAAACCTAGAGGACATTATTAGTGCGAATGCATTCCACTATAGTACTTAAATTATTTATTATTCCCCTTATTTCAGCCAATACTTTGGCACTCCATAACTTCAGCTTATTTTCAGCTACAGAAACCATTCAAATATTAAACTATTCAGCCTGTTCAGGAATCGATGGGAAACCTTCAACTTTTTCAAAATATGTTATACTTTTTAAAATATTCAGCTTTTTAAAGTCTTTTTTTAACATGGAAGTCATTGCAATGCACAGTTGAGTATTTTCTTGCATTTAAATAACTGTTTCAATGTGTTCCAGTCAGGCTTTCGTCCAAACCACAGCACTGAGACTGCTCTTGTAAAGGTCTTCAATGACATCCACTTAAACCCAGACAGTGGCAGAACTTCAGTGTTAGTATTATTAGATCTCAGTGCTGCGTTTGACACTGTTGACCACAACATATTACTAGACCGACAAGAAAACTGGGTGGGACTTTCGGAAACAGTTCTGAATTGGTTTGAATCCTACTTAAAGGACAGCAACAACTTTGTTTCTATAGGTAAATACACATCTGAGTTGACAAATATGACATGTGGGGTTCCTCAAGGCTCCATCTTGGGGCCTCTTCTCTTTAACATCTACATGCTACCACTGGCTCAGATAGTGAAAAACAACAAAATAAGTTACCATAGCTATGCGGATGACACACACATTTACGTAACAATTTCACCAGGAGACTATGCTCCCATTCAAACACTGAGTAAGTGCATTGAACAAATCAATGACTGGATGTGTCAGAACTTTCTCCAATTAAACAAAGATAAAACTGAGGTAATGGTTTTTGGAGCCAAGGCAGAACGTTTAAAAGTTAGCGCTGAGCTTCAGTCTGCAATGTTCAAAACAACAGATAAAGCCAGAAATCTAGGTGTAGTCATGGACTCTGACCTGAGTTTCAACCGTCACATTAAAACAGTTACTAAATCAGCCTACTATCACCTAAAGAATATATCTAGGATTAAAAGACTAATGTCACAGCAGGATTTGGAAAAGCTTGTCCATGCTTTTATCTTCAGTAGACTCGACTACTGCAATGGTGTCTTCACAGGTCTCACAAAAAAATCTATTAGGAAGCTGCAGCTGATTCAGAACGCCGCTGCTCGAGTCCTCACTAACACTAAGAAAGTGGATCACATCACTCCTGTTCTGAAGTCTTTACACTGGCTTCCTGTGTGTCAAAGAATAGATTTCAAAATACTGCTGCTGGTTTATAAAGCTTTGAATGGTTTAGGCCCAAAATACATTTCTGACCTACTGCTAAATTATGAACCATCCAGATCTCTCAGGTCTTCAGGGACTGGTCAGCTTTCTGTCCCCAGAGTCAGAACTAAACATGGAGAAGCAGCGTTCAGTTATTATGCTCCAAATATCTGGAACAAACTCCCAGAAACCTGCAGGTCCGCTGCAACTCTTAGTACTTTTAAATCCAGGCTGAAGACTTTTCTTTTTGTCACTGCTTTTAATTGAACTATTCACATCTTAAACTGCACTGTAACTTTTATCCATGTATTTTTTATTTTAATGTTTATTTTATTATCTTTTCTTTTTAATGACTGATTTTAAATGCCATTTTCTTAATGTCTTTCATTTTTTGTAAAGCACTTTGAATTGCCTTGTGTTGAAAGGTGCTATATAAATAAACTTGCCTTGCCTTACTTTTAAAGTATATTCCACTTCAGCAAAACTAGTTTGGACATAAAGCCTCTAGACATGGTCTCAAGGTAATGGAATAATGTAGCACCTGTGTTAGCTTTTCACATTCACCAAATATTTTTAAATGAAAGCCATTATATTTTATGAATTGACCAATTAACCAACCTTCTGGGCATCTGGGACCTCAGGGAAGTTGCCCACATTACAGACTATGACATCATAAAATCGAGTGTTTTCTCCAAACAACAATTGAAAAACCCAGATACCAGACGGTTTACTATCACATATGAAAATATAAAACAGCAGTTTTATACAACTCAGAAGTTGGTCGTGAAAACAAAAGTTTGCCATTCATTTGAAAGATGACATGAATCAATTATTTGATGTTCATAATAGTAAATTACCTTTCTCTTGACCACTAGAAAAAGCGTTAGCATAGTTGAATTGCTTCCAGTTCAGTCATTATAATTCGGCAGTTAAAATGCGAGGGGTCCCAAACCTATGGCCTAACAGGGAGAAATGATCTACTCGTGACCCATTATCTCAGGTCGTGGCCTATATGGGCATGACTTTTGAATTTGTAAACATCTATTAGTTAAAAATCTCTTACATATCTGAATAGGTGGACTATGTAATATGTCACAATACATTTAAAAAACGTCACACAGAAATAGGGTTGAATATTTGTGTTTCTTATTTTTCTATATTTGTACTATATGGCTGATATTTGTATTCCTGTTTATTTGGTGTTCTTACTGTACCTTTATTTATTTGTTGTTTTGTGAGCTGCACTGTGTAATTTTTTATTTATCTGTACAGAAATTTTAGGATAGATCTCTTAATTAGGAGCCAAGAGATATTATTTTAACATATTCTATGGCATTTCAGAGTATGCTCTAAATAATATTTTAAAATGCATTTTAAAGAGAGGGCTGTCCACCAAAACCACCCGCTTCAAAAAAAGCTTCTTCCCCTTTGCAATACGGACACTAAATGGACTCTAAATAACCCCAATGAACAATCACAATCCATAACACCTTGAACTTTATGTATATATGTCATGATGTATGTATTTGCCCTGTGCTGTGTGTTGTACTTTTTATTGTATGGAACCAGCTGTAATAATCTACACTGAATACGAATTCCACCAGCCTGGCTGTGTGGTCATTAAAGATTCTAATCTAAAAGTTCTCACCATGTCTCTTTAGTTTAATAACACACACAATTATAAAATGTAACAACATTTATTTTTGTTAGTTAACATCTGTCAATCAATGATTTATAGCACCTTTCAGGTTCTTTAAAGCTAACGTAAGAACCCATCAATGATATTATCGTTGTTTCTTCAGAACACATAATAATGACATGAACTTTCTAGATTTTCTAGAGATAACCTTAAGGCAAAGAATTCTGAGGCAATGTTCCCAAATTACATTTGGCTCATCATCATCAACAGCAAGGTTGCTGCAAACTGGACAAACTCTGGGAAAGAAACTTTTCCATCCTTGTCCGCATCCAGGCCGGTGAAGAATGCGTCCAACTGTTTTTTGTCCCCCTAAAGAGATAAAGTCCACAGAAGTTTGTATTAGATTTTAAAACATAAACAGAGGCATACACAGATCTATATTACAATAGTGCTTCATCTTTTTACTTACGGCCATTCCAGGAAACTCCTCGCGGAGCAAATCAGCAAGTTCTGCCTTGCTCATTGAACCTTTGTCTGCGTCTTTTCCAGCATACTTATCGAAGGTGGTCTTCAATACTTTCAGTTGTTCTTCAAGCATGGCCATGGTTACTGAAATGAAAAAAATACTGTTGGCTGTGTAGTTCAGTGTTTATTTATTTATAAAGGATTCTTGGAGCGTGCTAGGATCAAGATTCTTACTGCCGTTGGGCAGTAAGAATCTTGATCCTAGCACGCTTCATCATTAGTCTTGTGAATTAGTCACGCTCCATCATTAGTCTTGTGAACATTACTGATTATTTTAAAAAACGGTGCGATAAAGTCTTGCTCATATGTTGCCTTCTCATCTTTTCTTTAAGGGGTAATTACTAAATGTACCCTTGGTTTTGAACAACAGACATGATAAAGTCATGTTTGGGTGGGGCAACAGAAAAGTTCATTAGTGATTTGGTGTGGTAGGCAATTTTGCATCTTTCCAAAACAATTCAAGGCAACCAAACACATCTAGTCTGATTTCCAGACTCCTTTACTTGTTGTTCCTCCTTCAATTCATCTCAGTTTCTCCTACCTTCTATATGACTTTTCAAACAACTTTGCATTTTCAAATTGACAGAATTCCCACAATTTGATGAATGTCACTATAATATGTAAATCAGAGAATTGCTATAATCTTTCTATGCATTGACATTTAAATCCTATACACAGCACTAATAAAACATAATGCTACATTTTAGATATCAACTATTTAGACAATTCAAATGCACAATGGTTAATGTCTAAATGGACTTAAAGAAAAATGTTCACTTACCAAATTCAATGAACGCTTGAGTTCAAGCTTAGAGAGGATGGAAGAGTAGGATTTGTGAAGAGATCACGGACACCTTGGTTTATATAGAGAGGTTGTGTTACATGTGCCGCAGTTGGTGCTTGTGTGTGTGTCTCTCTCTCTCTCCCTGATTGTCTCCAGGTGCAGCCTCTCCCCCAGGTGCTCCCAATCCCCAATCAGGGCCTCCTTAAAGGACCTGAGGAAGGCTGCAGTGGCCTCTCTCCTTCTCCTCTGGCTGCATGTCTCTGTCGCTGCGTGAGGCCTGTGTTTTTGTGAATTGTTAGGAGATGTGCTCCAGTTTACCTTTTTGTGTATTCTTTAATTTAGTCACTTTATTTTAGAAGGAAGTTGTTCTTAGTTACTTTAAAGTGAACCTATCATGCTATATTTGAAACATATATTGTAGGGCCATACCTAGTGATGGTGAGGTGAAGCCTTATGAAGCTTTGAAGCTTTCCAGCCAATTGGTTCGCAAAAGGGTTCATCTCATGAGGCTTCATCATGGGCTTCATTTGAACACAAACCCCCCTGTTGGTCAAAGTGTGTAAAACAGGCAGATTGGACATCTCAACAGTGTGCTCTCTCATACCGAGTTCCCATTGAGTAAAGCCTTAGAATAACTCTAAACAACGAACATAAAATCATATTTTCATGTTAACAATATTGTATTTATTCCAGTTTAATGATTGTGATTGAAAAGCCTAAGGAGGCTGGTACACATTGCAAAGAGGGATTTGTATTCCCTAATAATATTCATAAACTTAACCATGTTGTAGCCTGAGAAAGGCTAAACCATATCAAAGAATACATTTATTAACTACATTATCTAATTTAGCTGTAGCTTTTATAAACAACAAAAAGTACGTATTGTTCAGTCGTTGAACCATGGGACCCTGCGGTCATGAGTCAACTGCTTTCCAGCTGAGCCACAGCACACACACTAAATCTCCCTGAAAACACTGCAAGATATTAATTCCTGTATTTATTCATTTATTTGTTCATGTTTTTATTCCTACATTTATTTATGCTTGTATCTATTTATACTTATGACATGTTCCGACCTCTATATAAGTGAGGGTCTGAGCTCTCTTGATTCCATCGTGTCACCGGCCCGGGTACAGGAGGGGTAATATGATTCTTAGTATACATCCATGGGTATTATGAGCGTTGTGGTTCAACGGTTCAACCGATCTGAATCGCTTCGTGAAGCAGTCACGTGGTATCGACAGGCAGCGAGGCTTCGTTTGTCATCGATGACGTCACTGGCCCAAAACGATACAAGCCTCGATACATGCTTCACAAAAAGCTTCGGGGATTACTCGACATACGCTCCGAAGCCTCGGCGCAATACGTAACATCACTAGCCATACCTATATAAAACATGTCTGTGAAGTTTGTTTTTTTCAAAATACCAAACAGATCATGCATTTTAGCCATGCCTCATTTCGCTCTATTTGCTCTTTCCAGCCCTGTTTTTGCAGGGGCTGATTCTGCTTTTGTGGCAGACTACAGCGCCACTTACAGGCCTGGCATATGTACTACAGCGTCTCCAGCGCTTTCGAGTGGCAATGGCTGTGGCCCAACCCCCCATTCCCCTGATAGGTGGAGAGTTGTCCATATAGGCGGAGCACCCCTTTTCTGACGTCAGAAAAATTCAAATCTGTATCAGCTCCGTTGCAGCCCCATTTTTAGAGATTTGGGTATGGAGGAAAAGAGAGAGGGTTGTGTTTTCTGACACTTGGTGAGTTCCCTGACACACCGGGGACACATATTTGTGTATAAAAGACGTACAAAAGTGAATTTTGCATGATAGGTCCCCTTTAAAGCATCACGTTGTGGCTTCAGCAGTCAGTTTCCTCTCCTTTTTCTCTCGCCCGGTTGTTTTTGTGTTTTGTTACTTCCCTTTGTACCCCTGTTTTAGGAGGGAATGTAACAGGTTGACACACCCACTTTTCAAGCACCCACGCCCTGGTTTTTTCATTTCTTTATTTCTTCTCTCCGGAAAAGCTTACACAATGTCAGGGGGTGTATTCATAAAGCTTCCTGGTACAAAGAGTTTCACCTTGTGACAAACCTATCAGAAAACTCTCAAAAGGATGATGTTTTATAATAAAAGTTGCCCTTGCAGTTAAGCTGAGAACCTGCAGGTAAAGGTTATTTATAGAGTACCAGCCTTTGAGAGAGCTTCTAAGGTGAAAACTAGATGAGTCATTTAAAAAGACTAACAATGATCTTATTAAGAAGAGAAAAAGGCAATTACACAAAGAGGTAGGATACATATTCTCCAAACTCTATGTAACAATGAGTAATGAAATAGATGAAATATCAAAAATAACCAGCATGGTTTATAATCCTAAACAAACCATCAACCATCAGCATTAGAATAGGCCACTGTGTTTCCAACAACCTTGTAGGCTACATACTAACTATGGCTCACAACTTATTTAACAGAGGAGTTAATTACCTTAGATAATATTCATAATCACACCAAGTCTGAATAGGGACACAAATGCTATTACCTCAGTGTACTCTTTTGAAACACTTTCAAAAATGTATTTTAATGACTTTTCTATTATTAACATGTTTACTTTACATTTTCTGCTTGTATTCATTGATTTCATTCATTTATGTTTCAATATCTTGACTGCAGTGAACTTTCCTTTTTGTTATTGCGTTGGTTATTTTTCTGTTTGTATGTGACACACTTTATAAACGTTGTTTTTTCTTCAGGGCCAATATCGAATTTAAGTTTCAGAATAATATCCTTCGCTAGTCAAACTAGCACATTTGGCCTCGCAGGGTGCATCCCAGTACAAAGTAAATGACTACATGTAAAAACCCTGACAGGCATGCAGGTATTGACAGGTACCTGCATGCCTGGTATCTGTCAGGGTTTTTCACAGCAAGGCTAAAGAGTTTATAAAACGACTAACTAAGGAATCTCTCTTTATATTCTAGTCTATTTTAGTTGATTCATTGATCGTTCTAATTATTCTTTTCATGAAAGAAGCAAAACAGTAGTAACATAACTTAACATTCTCCAAATCATTTTGCTTTTTGAAGACTTTTCTTTTTGTCGCTGCTTTTAATTGAACTATTCACATCTTAAACTGCACTGTAACTTTTATTCATGTATTTTTTTCTTTTGTTTATTTTATTATCTTTGCTTTTTAATGACTGTTTTTAAATGCCATTTTCTTAATGTCTTTCATTTTTGTAAAGCACTTTGAATTGCCTTGTGTTGAAAAGTGCTATATAAATAAACGTGCCTTACCTTGCCTATTGTATTATTATTTTTCTGACATCTGCATTACTTGCAAATTGGTCCTGCTACAAAATCTGTAATATGTGTTGTTCTGTTTCTTATTGCACTATTTTTATTTAATTAAAAAAATGTGATGTCCTATATCATGTTGCATTGTTGGAGGAGCTTGGGACTTAGGTTTTCCATTGCCATATCTACACTGTACTGTGCATACTGTATGACGATAAAGCCTTTGAATCAAGTTTTTTGAAGAAGTTCTAGCCCACTACAATTCAGAGGTAAATATTGTATACTTGTACACTTCACTACATTTATTTGATAACTTTAGTTACTTTGCAGATTCGGATTAATGATAATATATATTCGGATTAATAATTATATATATATATATATATATATCACCTAAATGAGAATTTAGTACACCTGGATAAAGTACACAAGCTACCCAGCAGTAATTAAACATAGTTCTACCTTTACCAGCTGTGGTAATCATTAATACATCAATAATTATAATCATAACATATAATATTCTGAAATACGCCCACTCGCCCACTCAGGTCAGCTGATCACCTGCTCCTGAATGTACCCAGGCCAGAACCAAGCTAAAGCTCAAAGACCGTGCTTTCGCTGCTGCGGCTCTTAAACTGTGGATCCCTCTGCCCCTCCACATTAGACTTCTACACTGTCCGTTTTTAAATCTTAAAACCCACCTCTTCTCTTAACGTTCTGCACTTTGCAGATTGTTGCTTTTTAAAAAATTGTATACATTTTGTACGATATGGCTGATATTTGTATTCCTGTTTATTTGGTGTTCTTACTGTACCTTTATTTATTTTTTGTTTTGTGAACTGCGTAATTTTTTATTTATCTGTACAGAAATTTTAGGATAGATCTCTTAATTAGGAGCCAAGAGATATTATTTTAACATGTTCTATGGCATTTCAGAGTATGCTCCAAATAATATTTTAAAATGCATTTTAAAGAGAGGGCCGTCCACCAAAACCACCCGTTTCAAAAAAAGCTTCTTCCCCTTTGCAATACGGACACTAAATGGACAATCACAATCCATCACACCTTGAACTTTATGTATATATGTCATGATGTATGTATTTGCCCTGTGCTGTGTGTTGTATTTTTTATTGTATGGAACAAGCTGTAATAATCTACACTGAACACGAATTCCACCAGCCTGGCTGTGTGGTCATTAAAGATTCCAATCTAATCTAGAAGTTCTCACAATATCTCTTTAGTTTAATAACACAAACAATTATAAAATGTAACAACATTTATTTTTGTTAGTTAACATCTGTCAATCAATGATTTATAGCACCTTTCAGGTTCTTTAAAGCTAACATAAGAACCCATCAATGATTCATCGTTGTTTCTTCAGAACACATAATAATGACATGAACTTTCTAGATTTTCTAGAGATAACCTTAAGGCAAAGAATTCTGAGGCAATGTTCCCAAATTACATTTGGCTCATCAGCATCAACAGCAAGGTTGCTGCAAACTGGACAAACTCTGGGAAAGAAACAGTGCCATCCTTGTCCCCATCCAGGCCGGTGAAGAATGCGTCCAACTGTTTTTTGTCCCCCTAAAGAGATAAAGTCCACAGAAGTTTGTATTAGATTTTAAAACATAAACAGAGGCATACACAGATCTATATTACAATAGTGCTTCATCTTTTTACTTACGGCCATTCCAGGAAACTCCTCGCGGAGCAAATCAGCAAGTTCTGCCTTGCTCATTGAACCTTTGTCTCCGTCTTTTCCAGCATACTTATCGAAGGTGGTCTTC